TATATATATATATATATATATCGATTTATCCCATGTAGAATTAAAACAAGAATTTGATCCAAAAAATATGGTTATATATCTCTCTTCACAATAAAGACAAGAATAAAATGGAAGATGGAAAAAGCATATGTTCAAATGAAGTTATATATGTTGTTATTAGTTATAACCTTCAACTTAAGGATCCTCGTTTAATCATTAAGCCCATCTCATCTTCCATTGATCAAGAATAATTCGTCTAATCGACACACTCAACGATGACAAACTCGGAAATGACGTTGAAGCTTTTGGTCGACAAAAGAGATGGCAAAGTCATGTTTGCTGAAGCAAGCAAAGACTTTGTCGACTTCCTCTTCTACATACTCACATTGCCTATCGGCAGTATCACGAAGCTTCTTGCCAAAGAGCCGTTATCAGGCAGCCTCGGAGACCTTTATCAAAGCATCGAGAACCTAAACAACATCTACATACTAGAAAACAAAACCAAAGACACTGTTTTGAACCCAAAATCGCTATCTTATATTCCCAATCAAGATCTGCTCTTGTTATCCAAAGATTCCCCAACCATCAAAAAAAGGTTTTACACGTGCTCTAACGTTAACCGTCGTTGCAATATTGTGACCGAAGAGCCAAAGAGTGCGTGCCCTAATTGTCGGTATGCTATGTCAAATGAGATGACCTATTTCGTACCTGAGGCGGCTAAGGTGGCTGCAACCACGGAAGTTGGTTTTGTGAAAGAGGTGGTTACTTATATGGTCAGGGATGACCTGGTTGTGCAACCTATGTCCACCATCTCTGCCATAACTTTGCTCAACAAATTGAGCATCAAAGATGTGTGTGTTCTTGGAGAAAAAGAAGTCCATTTTGGGATGGCAGAGGTACGAATTCGTCCATATTTTCTTAAAGTTTATAGCTTTCATCTTCTTTTTGTTCTAGCCACCACAAAAGAAGCCAGCTTATGTCTAACCCAAGGGGGCTTCTTCAATAAACTCAAAATATGGTTAAAGGCCTAAATCAGAATGTGTTACAGGGGTTGAAGCTACTCAAGGCCTCGTTGGAATGCAAGAATGTACTGACTCGTGTATTCCTGGACTCCGAAGACCAGGTCAAAATTGTTTAAGCCAAGTACTTATCGTACGACTGTTCACCAAATTTAATAATGTACTATAACTTTAATTGATTGATAAGTATGTTCATATTTGTTCTTCGATTAATGAATCCAGTGAAAAAGTGGCCCAAAATCTAATGTGAATGCACGTAAGCATTCCACAAGACAAACAAGCAATCCATCACTAAAACTTTGTGCATAGAGTTCTTTCGAGACATGGGTGTAAAAGAAAAACGCTAAATTTAATATCAAGGTCGGTATACACATGCAAACGGACAATAAGGACGCACCTGAAGGAGACCAATTGACGACAAAGAATCTATTCCTTAAAAAGGTTTATATGAAACGGTTTAATAAAGAGATGTACAACCAATGTGTTGAGGTTAGAAGACAAAAGGTGCTGCACTCTGGTGCAAAATGGTTTGCAAGCTTTCAACTGAACCCTTGATACATTCTGCAAAAATATGTAGATCATAAACCTTTAGAAATATAGAAAATATGGAAGGTTGAAAATTAGAGTGACCATAAATGTGCAATAAGAGGTTGTTCATTAACAATCATCTTGATTCATGATCATTAACGAAATAACACAAGTTAATTGGAGGCTAACCAAACAAAACGAACCCACTATATCCCACAAAGAAGTAAGGTATGGGGGTTAGGATGCATGCAGATCTTGCCTGTAGAATAGAGAGCTTTTTTCCATGAAGACCCCGAGTTAAACAACCCAAAAACAAGTAAACCATTAAAATACGTCCAAAAGGAGTTGAAGAAAAACAAACCTTTACATTAGCGAAGTGTTAAACCAAACAACAGATTAAACAAACCGAGATAAAAATATTGAAAAAGGGGTTAAAGAACATCATGCATATCTTTAACACTTATGAAGTCATCGGGTGAACCAGTAAACTGTTCTCTAGACCATCCTATTGAACCGCTGTGCTGAGTCACCAGTTTAAAACAGGTTAACTTAACTGAAGGCTAGATCCATATTTTCAGATTACGAGATTATAGTTGTTCAACTAATTGTAAATTGAACATCCAAAGATCCAAGGTCGGAACGTCTTTATTGCAAACTGCAAGAAGCACAAAGAATTCCCTTCCCAACCCTAGTGAAGCCTGGTTTGTGGTGCATCAGGATGGCTCTTTTTATGTCTATTGGCAACAAGAGAATAATCAAGTTCACAATCACAACAAAATGACATGGTTTTGTAGGAGGCTATATTGATTATTTAGATATGCACATTGACTAAGACGGAAGTGCAACATCTTAGAAAAATTGAATACCTAAAGATCCAAAGTTCCATTAAAGAAATCAAGACCAATGCAAAATATATATACAAATTTCCAGAACCCTCATAAAGCCAATGAGTGGTGGTGCAAGGACACTCTTTATGTGTCTCTTTGGCAATCATAAAACAATCAATTTCTATTGCAAATTGATAGGAGGCTAGGTTCATATATTAGATCTGGAGATCGACTAAAAGGTGCAATTTCTTAGAAAATTTAGCATCCAACGTTCTAAGGTCCAAGTAAAGTATATTTTTTTTATTAATTGTTGTTTCTCAAACATGAGTGCGATCGTATTTTTTTGGAAGGGTCTAATTTTAAATTTATACAAGCTTAAACTAATCTTATACAAGTCTTGAAGTCGAGCCAACGATCACACTTATGCAAGATTGTAACACACCATAGTACTTGAGTCTATACAAGTCAAGCTAAAGCTTGGACATTGAACAAGCTAAACTCAAGCCCAACATTTCCATACTTTCAAGCACCACAAGAACTAAGCAAGCTCAAGCTCAGATCTGCTCACAGAGATCGCTAGATGAGACTTTATTGGTAGTAGTGGTGAGACAGTAACATGGTATTGTTGACTGACAAAAACCCAACTAAAGGGAGAAAGTCAAAACTTCACAAGTATTTGCACTTCATTACTTCCATATACACATGGATCACACATATATTTGCACTCCACTACTACCATATACACATGGATCACATTTGTGACTTTGTGAGTGCAGTCGTCACTTTCGGAAGTACAAATAACATTTTCCTTAAATACCCATAACCCATTAGTATAACTTAGCTATTGTATGTTTCTAGCATTAAGCATAATTATGTTTTCTAATCCAAATAGTTGTTTCAACCCGTGCCCCATAAATTTCAAAGTATTAACAGGTAAGTGCCACAGTACCTCGACGTTTTTTTCCAGCATCTTCTGCTGGGATGTTGCCAAGAGTGCAAAAATGAGAAATAGATGAGGTTGGAGAGATTGTATGAGATCCGATAATTGCACCGGTGCTACAAAGAGCTCAGCAATGCAACAAATTCCGAAGGTTCTTCATCTTGCTTCACAAGCTGTTCGTATGTTATTTAATTAAAAAAGAAAATTAGAGAAAGTGATCACATTAACTGATAGCATGTACACCACTGGCTAAAATAAAAGAGTTAAAAAAAACTATGTTTTTTAATTTTCAATGGAAACTAACCATGTCCATGACAAATTGAAAAAAGAAACACTATGTTTTGCAAAAACAATCTTGCAAGGCTATTTTTGATAAATCATGGAAATGTAAATGCAAAAACAGAACATTTTATTGGGCAATTTTCTTTTCAGAATTTGCTCGTTCTTGCAAAGTAGTTCCTTTTTTATTTTGGGATTTTCCAATAACAATGTTTTGTTTACAACTATAGGCAAGTACTATGGTTTTAAAAATCACTAATTAAAAGGAAGGACCATAATGTTAATGCATTCCATATAACCAATTAACCACATGGAAATAAAAAAAGCAAATCTTGACAAAGAAGGGGTGAATAGAACTTCTATAGAAAAATCTTTTTTAATTATCAGGAACATTCCATTGAATTTCACTGCATCATAGACCTTAATCATAGGTGCTGTAACATAGTTTTTAGGAAATCACGTTGTGAACATTATGGCAAACACTACTGCTTTGCCATCAATTTTGAGACAGTATAGCTTATGCAACAAATGAGTCAACTAAATGAAATTTGCTCTTACAGATGAATAACATTAGATAAATGCTATCTGGGTAAATGAAAAAAAAAACAACTTCCTATATCCTGAACCAGCATGTTGCATGGGTGATAGATTTATTGTATGAAGGGAGTACATTGCATCTATGGGCACCACTTTAAAGTGTATGTTCAATCATGAACAAATGGAACATGTTATAGCATAATAACCAAGAAACTACATATCTAATATAATTCGTTTGTTCCATAAAGATTGCAACAATTTCCATTTTAAGTTGTCTGATGAAAACTGCATCCTCGTGTATTAGTAAACTATTCAATGACTTATCTACCCATTGCCATTATCGAAAGACAAACTATTAAAACTATTTATTTTGCTATTTTGGCCTACAAGATTCCTCCGATTTGATGTTATTNGGGGTATAAGGTATTTTAGACATTTGATAAATAGTCAAAAACCTTCTTCAACTTTGTGTTGAGTCAAACATTAGAGTTGTCTTGGGATGGAAACAGTAATTGCTTTGACATGTAGATAATTTTTTAGCTAAATAAATCAAGCACCTACATTATGTAGCAAGCCAACATGAGAGATAAACTTATATAATGCAAAAAGAACAGGGAAACTTTAATGAGATAGTAAGTGAACAACTTCTAAATATCATTTGTACCTCAACATGAGTGTCCTTTGACAAGCCCATTTCAGAAAGAACCTTATTAATAACTTCTTTCATGGCCAAATCTGGCAACTCGGTACACCTTTTATTTGTCTCAAGGAGACTCCCGTTATCATGCCTGAAAGCTTTTCCCACCCATAAATACAGAACAGAATCCCCATCCTTTACAGAACCTGAACCAGGAGTGACAAAAACAAACATACATCGGGAATCCATATCATCAGTGTAAAATCTCAGAACCTTCTCCAAGCTAGGCCATTCAAGTACCACTACTTGTTGCTTTACATCATGATGTGCAGATTCACTCTCCACTGGTACCAAGAAGTTGTGTGTTTCTTTCCTCTTTGAAGGCCAATTTTCTTCTGAAGCTTTAGATGTTTGATCAAACCCATCTCCACCATCCAAAGTGTTTGAACATGAAGAGCAATAACCCTGAAGAAGAGATTCTTGGTTTAGTCCCTTTTGTTTAAGTCGTAATACATTATTTTCATCAGATTCAGTGGCTAAACAAGCATTGGCTTCTCCTCCAGCAACATAACTTGAATGGGCCTCTTGACCCTGTGAATCATCACATGGTATTGGTAGTTTAAGGCATTTCAGGGTGCCCCCTCTGCGTTCAGCGATGGAAAGAGAAGACCGCTTTGACGGTGATAAGACTGACTGGAAAGATGTGTTTGAAGTAAAATTGACATCAATAAATTCAGAAGTTTTAGATATGGAATGAGGAGAGAGTTTAGTTGGAACAAGTGATAAATTTGACAAGGTTGATAAAGTGGAAGAGAAAGCATGAGTGTATGAAGATATTGAAGGAGATGCAACCGGTGAATCAGAATAACATTTGGAGCTAATGCTTGAATCAGAAGATATAGAATCGGGAGAAAGATAGGGAGGAGAAGATGATGAAGAAGAACCAGAAGAAAATGATGGTGACAATGATGATGTTGAAGAGAAAAGAACTGGTTTAGACAGTGGATTAAAACTCCTCTCTGAACCTACAAGCAAAGCTGAATCAGGGTAAACTCTGGATGGGGCAGACTTAGAAGCTAAGACAAACTCCTTCATGTTTCCATATGCAAATTTACGTCTTAATACACTCCAACTGTTTTCTCTAGCAGGGAGGTGAGTTTCTTGGTCAGTTTCAGATGATGCAAATGGAGGCACAAATCCACCAATGATTGCTTTCTGAATGATCTCAAAGTCAACATTGTATGAATCAACTATTCTCTCGCCCGGAGTAGCCTTAGATAATTCAACTATATCAATGCCTGATTTGTCCATCAAAGGTAGGAGAGTGGAAAAAGCATCCCAGAAGTATGAAGGCTCTTCCCCTTCCTTAACTACAACAATAGGTCCCTGAGCTTTTTCATACCGAACAATCTGACAAACAGCACCTCTTGCCTCTCTTTCCATAAGAGATTCACATTTCTTGCCGATCCAGATATAGATTGTTGAAGGTATGTGCATAATGAATGCACCTCTAGAATCCAGAGCAGCTGGAGAAGGTACATTTAACATTTTTGGAACAAGATGCAAAGGGTCGTATGACGAATGAGGAGCGATTCTATATAACCTAAGTAATGAGCTTGGGCTCAAAGGAAATGCATGAACCCTTTTTTGACATTGCAACAACTGGCATGCAAACCCCATATTTGGATCAGCAATCTCTCTAGCTGCCTTTACATATTGAAAAGCATCATCAAAGCTTTGTCCTTCTCTCCACATACGATAAGCGATTACCAATGAAGTGGATCGTGAAACCCCTTGACAACAATGTACGAAGACTTTTCCACCTTGACCTCTAACATCTTCAAAGTAATCAAAAACATCATACAGTATACTTGTGATATCCTCTGAAGGGCTATCTTGTAACCATAAAGTTCGATAAACGAAATTTCCCTTAAAATATTCAGGGCAGACAAAGCCTACACAATTGAGAACATGAGTAATCTTATGCTGTTTAAGTATGTCTTTATCTCTTGCAACAGCATCACCACCAAGGAAAATGTGTTCAGCAACCTTTGAACACTCCTTATCAAAAAATGCAATCTTATCTCTTTTGGCAAGACCAGCATTCTTATCTGGAATTCTTTGAATTGATGACAAATCAAGCTTTAACCTTTCACCACCATTATTCAAGTCTCTACCACTAGGTGTGCTAGGAATTGGCCATTCACCAACATCATCTGAACCCGCTCTTGGCCACTCATCTAAGCTCCGTCTAGCAATCGCCAATGGTGGCAAACATGAGCGACCTTTACTATTTGATCTAGGAGTTAATGGGACAGGACACCTTCGATTCTGGCCACCATTACTAGCATTCAGATCTACACCGTCTTTCACACTGTCAGGATTAAGTGGTGGCAATGACACATGAGAAGAGGACCATGAAGCTGACCGCCAATACATTTTCCGGTTGCCAGAAATGGGATGATGGAGTTGTGAACCACCATTGCCACTGCCACTGTTGCCACTATCCCCACCAGCCTCATCCTCTTTTCCTACCATTCCACTTAAAATTCCAAATTATTAACCAAAATCCACACTTGAGTGATCTATATAACGTAGTGTTTTGTCACTAAACCGAAAAATGCCAAAGCCAACACCTTAATAGAATTAACAAATATCACCTGCGACCCGATTAGCACATAACCATCAAAAAGATAATCGAATAAAAACGGATACTAAATCAATCAATAAATACAATTACCCAGGCTTATCGAACAGGAAATTTCTAAACTCTAATAACACGCACAAAACCAAACAACAGAATAAAATAACATAGTTTATGGATCTCAGTCCTGGAAACAGGAAATATATACGTAATATAAGCCGAAATTGACGAAAACAAATGCAATTCCATACTGATTTCTAGGGTTTGTCAGAAAGATCGAAAATACGCGTCTGTATATGCAATCATGATTAAAAAGGAAAGACGAAAGATTAAGGACTTACAGTTTATGAAAATCGAGAGGGAAAATGGAGATGAAAGAACGGGAAGTCTGATTAGCAAAGACGAGTGTGAGATTCTTGAATTATAAAAAAACAAAATTTCAATTCCCAAACTTTTGATACGACTCGGAAATTAATAAGAAAAGAAAAGGACCTTCAACTTTCGATTCTCTCAACAAGGGGCAGTGAGGTTTTGTGGAACGTTCTATTTATTTTTCAAATACTACAAATCATAAACGCCCATTTATCAATCGCTTATTTGTGTAAGCATTTAACAAGACACATTATCTAATCAGATGAATATAATAAGAATTAAAATTTTATACGGTAAGAACAAAACAAAAACTAAAAGTCTTACCCGGTAAGTGAAAGCAACGACCCTTACCACGGTAAGTGATTACCGGATAAATTGTTGCATGTTATGTCATTTTGATGAACTAAAATTTTACCCGATAAGTAAATAATAATATTAAATTTTACTGGTAAACACTTACTAAATAAGTATTTGGTAAACAGCCGGACATGTTTGATTTGCTAACCAAATAATCTATCTGTTTAATCAATTTTATTTTTAAATTGAATTTTTATTTTAATAAGAATTTATGTAAATATCTTGTTCATTTACCTAAAAAATATTCTTCACACAAAAAAAAAAGAATTTGAAAATCGAGTTCCGATTAATTAGATTGATAAAATGATTAAAAAGAAATTTTGGTTGAGAAGATGAATTATTTTAATTAATTTTCTAATAATTAAATAGGTATTTGAGTATTAATTTAAAATTTTAACTACTAATTATAAAAATTGACTTTGTGGTTAGGTTTTTTAACGAGTTAGATTTATGTGGCTGCATTTTTAATGAGTTGGGTATCTGTGATGAGTGTTTAAATGTAAATATTCAGTTTTAATTGGGTTCTTATCAAAACTTGTTACTATTTGTATAATCCATTTATATTTTTCAATAATCATGGGTGATTATAAGATTAAGGGGCCGTTTACCAAACACTTATCTTATAAGTGCTTACCGGTAATATTTAACATTATTATTTACTTACCCGATAAGATTTTTGTCCACCAAAACGACATTGTATGCAACAATTTACCCGGTAAGCGCTTACCGTGGTAATAGTCGTCGCCCTCACTTACTGGATAAGACTCTTGATTTTTCTCTCGCTCTTACCGGGTAAGATTCTTGGTCCTTACTATATTCATCCGGTAAGATAATGTTAATTGGTAAGCGCTTACACGGGTAAGCGTTTGGTAAACGACCCCTACATTTTTTTTACTAATCCTTTTTTGACTCTATGCTCGACAAACACAGAATGTCCTTTACATGACTTGTGTAAAAGGGCATCTCGCATAGCAGATATTGTGTATATATTAGTTGTTCGGGAAATTTTACACGAAGTTTTTGGTAAACTTGCATCGGTTGGGAGGAGATGAAGACTATGAGTTTCAATGAAACCGACGCCTTCAAGTTTAATCGTTTAGAAGTTTATGTGCAAGCTAAACCATGGTCAAAGTCAAATTACGGGTTCATAACTCTATTAAGTACAAAGAGGGCAATTTTTGACTTGTGTTTATGATAGATCTGAATGATTAAATCCAAATTTGTCAACGATAAGGACAGTTGTCCAAGTTGAGAATATAACTTTTAGATCTAGTTCATAACGTTATTGATAAATGACGTTGAACGGTTCAACATAATGCTTGGACTAGACCTTGGTTACAAATCAATGTAATGTGCAACTAAATTTATTGTTTATATTTATTACATATACTATGTTTAAGGGTTGTTTGTTTACCTCTTAATAGTTTCATTAAGAAGCAGTCTTTGAATCGTTAAGAGATGAATCTTGTTTGGCAAAAAAAAAAAATCTGCCTCTTAATGATTCTAAAACTCTCTGAATGATTTTGTATCTTGTGCCTCCATTCACCGTTCAGCGCCCTAATTTCGTTGCAAATAATTACCAAACAATTATATTTCATTTTGCACTATCATAAGAGCTTCTTAATAATTATGACCATTAAATCATTCTGCATCAGATCATTCAACAACTGCCGAACAGCTCCTTAGTCCATAAGATATCGAAATTTGTATAAATACAATTAGTTTTCATAATGGGCTAATGTTATGAACAGTGGTCTTGTTACCAAATACTGACATGAAATGTATGAAATACATAAGTAAACAGTTACCAAAAATTGCAAAGAGTTAATAATCATAGTAAATGAGCAAGAAATTTGGGGAAATGGTATGAAATTAATGTAAATGCATATGTTGATTTAAGACAAACAAAAGCAGGTCATTAGCGTGATCATAGTTCATCACTAATTGCAGCATCATAGGGGCCGTTCACCAAACGCTTATTCGGGTAAGTGAATAGCAAGTCACATTACCTTACCAAATGAATATGATAAGGACCAATAATCTTAACCGGTAAGAACGAGACAAAAACCATAAGTCTTACCCGGTAAGTAAAGACGACGACTCTTACCATAGCAATCACTTACCGGGTAAATTGTTGCATACGATAGTGTTTTGATGAACTAAAATCTTACCAACTAAGTAAATGATAGTGTTAAGATTTTACCGGTAAACGCTTACCAGATAAGTGTTTGGTAAACGACCCCATATATTATGTTGGCTCATACATCATATAAACATTAGGATGTTTGTTTACTTACGTGTTAGTCCATACATTAAGTATTGTTTGTTGTGACAAGTTGCAAATGTCGATAATAACTTGATAGATACAAGAAATTGGAGCCTTGTTAGGATGAGTTTTGAACCAGGTACCTACATGCTTAAGGATATATCGGTCATAGTGACGGAATAAATATATATCGAAGATAACTATATATGAAAATAGAAGTTGATTTTTGTCCAAGAATTGTCAACAAGACGAGTAGACAAAACCAAGTTAAATATTGGCTTATTAAGACAAATACATCATATCTGTTAGAGCTACAATAATTTTCTTGTATATGTACTATATTATAAGGCATTTGATAAAAACTCTTAAAAACTATTTTTTATGCATGAAGTACTACTTGTATATGCATATTACTTAAAATTCAAGATTACAAGTAAAATGTGCAAAAGTACAACTTATTAAAGCTTCATGTTTGAATTCGTGTAACTAACTGCAGATAAACATAATAAAATAAAGAATAAATATCTCATTTTAAATATAAAAATCTAAAATATAATTAGGATAATTATTAACGTCTACTAAAATACTTAATTATTATCAATACAAAAATTATAATATTAAACAAAAATTAAAAAAAATGAATTAAAGAAATATACAAAAAACAAGAAATTTTAAATAGTTAGTTTGGTACTAATATCAATATTTTTTTCATGTTTTATGATATCTTTATATTTATATTTTATTAAAAAAAATAAACACATTATCGTTTTCTCAAAACCACATAAAACCGTATTATAACATCGACTAAGACAAAGAAATAAATAAAACGAAACACTAAAATCGAGATGTATCTCGATGCATTGTGCGAATATCCTTCTAACATACTTTTAATGGTATTTGCACTTGTAGGATGCGGGATCTCATAGACTTCTTATCTCCATCATCAAGTACATTGATAAAGATTCTGATGATCATGTGTGCTTATTGTTTGGAAAAGTATGTATATCGAAGATGCAACACCCTTTATTTTATGAATCATCATAACATACATGAATAACATCATAACCTAAAAAAGTGCATCATAATTATCTTAAACTAAAACTGAATAACATTCCAAAACTTGTGTAACTTCAAATTGTAATAAACATGATCCATAACTGGAACCAAATGTTCGAACACACAAACAACAAAAGTATAACTAAATTGTACTAAATCTAAGATCATCAAACTCTTGTAGTTGCCATTTTACAACTTTTTTATTAGTAATAATATCTGTAACAACTCGTCCCACATGGATAGAAAGTGAGAATTGTTAGCTCCTTATAAGTCCCAAGTAGTGGGCTACTAATAACTTCCACCATGGTTTTA